CCGCCGACTCGGCGCTCACTTTAATGCTGCGCGGGGCCCCCGCGCCCGGGGGCTCCTCGCTCCCCGCCCCCTCCCCATCCCATCGGGACTCTTGGCCTGGGGACTCCCCAGTCCGACACCCCGGCTTTGTGTGTTGGCCTCGTCACCACCGCTGCACGTCACAAATCCGGGGAGAGGCCGGCCGGTTGCCCCCGCCTTCGAGAGCGAGCCTCCCCGGGAGCCGGCCCTGCTGGGACGCGCGAGCCCTGAGCGCGTGTTCGGGCAGGCGGGTTGCGGTGCGGAACAGGCGTCTGCAGTCCGAGAGACTTTTCATTTTCTTTTGTAACAACGCAGTTCCTCTTTCCAACTTGACAACCGCGCGCGAGCTGGCTGGCGTGTCCTCTGTGGAATCCCGTTACCCTGGAGTTCTTCAAGGTTTTAAGCTGTTTTCCAACTTGGTATTTCTTTCGTAATTCTGGTGTCTCAACACTGTGATCAAAACTCATGGCATGGCTTAGCTTGGCTTTGTGGGGTGCTAAGAATAAGAAGTTCAAGGGATCACAAGGTGGCCTGTAGGAGGAGGGACTGATTAGGGTGTTCCCGCCTTTGGGGCGGTTTACAGTCGAGTGTGGGGATTGAGGCCATCATGCAAGAAAAAACAGCGAGACCAAAAAAACTCCCTTGAATGTAAGTGACATGTTGCATGGTGCAGACCGAAGACTCCAGAACACAGGAGAGTCAGGGCAAGCTTTTAAGTGTAGTATAGACTCCTAAGAATTAGGTGTCCACCTTCCTCCACAACATAGAGGGCTTCACCACTGCCTGACATGTGGCGGTGAGAGTGGACTTGACCGCTTTCAATGTCACCAGACTCACTGCTTCTGTAACTGTGGTAAGGTTTTTTGCCAAGCAGAGCCCAGGCCACTGGTGCTTAGTCCTTCCAGGCCCTTTGCTACGGGGAGGGGGGAGGGGGTTGTCTGTGGAAGGCAATCTTCTGCTTCACCACTACTCCACTCCTATAACTCCCAGATGGGTACCCTCCTTTCCAGGTTCCGAATGCAGCTCCATTCCATGCTTGGGGACAGCATTTTCTGACCTTGGGAGCACTTGGGGTCTGTCCTAAACTTCCAGAAGCCAGAAAGTAGATGAAGGAAAACGGACAGGTCTGGCCTTTCGAATTTAGAAACCATTTACTCCATTTACATGAAAGCTGCGCCTACTCTTGTTACCCCCTGTAGCTGGCATTTGGTTAGCCTTTGGCTACCCTTGTTGGTCACTGGAACCGCCTTTCACTTGGAGAGAGCTGTCCCTGTTCTTTAGATGAGGATGGCCTGAGAACACCCTGTGATATGCCCCAGGGTCAGCGTTGGAGCAGGCAGAGGACAGCAGAGTTGAGGACAGGAAGGCAGCCCTGAAGGAAATAAATAAACCTCCCCTCCTCCCTTTTTTCTCCCTAATCGTTGCCAACCCTGCCCCCAGGTTGCAGGACTCCAGGGAACTAACTGAAGAATTGTTGCTTGTTCCTTTGACTCAAGCACCAAGATTTGTGTGGGCATGGCACGGGGGAGAGAGGAACACAGTATTATGGTTAGAACTTATAACGAGCTGTTCCTTAACACTGCAGCCACATTCCTGATACCTTTGTGGTTCTTTTCTGGCAGAGACAAGCCCCTAACCTGCTAGTGACCAGCATTTTTTTCAGGGGAGTAAGAGACTATAGGAACAAGAGCAAAGAGCAGCCATGATTGTATTAGTAATGTTTGCCAAAATAAAAGGCGTGTGGAAAGTGTGGCAGTTGCTTTTATTTTTTAATAATCAGAAATCTCTCAGATGGTGATTGTTTTTCTTTTTTAATAATCTGAAATCTCTCAGATGAGAGTTTAGGACAAGTTCTAATAAAGATTGCCATTATGTGCTGGCTGGAAAATGCTATAAAAATAACTTGCTGATCGTGAGAAGCTGCGTTGATTGCCTACCAGACTGAGGGAGAGCACTGCCTGACAGTCCCAGCATCTCAGAGAAAGTACTGAAGTTCACAGGAGGTAAACCGACCTACTAAGAAATGTGTAATTTTACAGAGCAACAAAGATGGTACCGGACAAATCACCTCTACCACCAAGCTGACAGAATATTCCACTAGTTCAGCTGCTGCCTCTGACTAGGTGGGGAGGCTCTTGCCACTAGATCACAAGCTATTGGTCTCGATTCCCACGAAGTTAAGGGCTTGAAGAGATCTCTCATGTACTTAAAGGTTGAAGGTTTATGGTATTTGGTTAGGCCCAGAATGGGAGGGTGTTGAAGAGCTAATCTGAACTCACAAAAAGTCTGTTCATGTTTGGATTCTGAGAGAAAAGGTGTGGTTAGCAAGGAATTGAGTGGGTTGAATAATGGAGTGGAGATTTCAGAAAAGTTCAGGATGTATGGCCTGCAGTAGCCAGTGAGACCTGGGGATCCTCATAACTGTCTTAGATATGGGCCACAAACCCCTTGCACAGCTGGTTGTCTGGAGTAAGGGATTTCCCTCCATGAGATATCTTTTGTCTTGGGTAGTGCACTTCCTTTGACAAATTGTCAGCTTTTCTATGGAGCCCTTCTGCTGTCTTTGAGCAGTAAGCAGTAGATGAATCAGCCTTGGAGCTCACCTCATCTTTGGAACACAACAAAAGATTGTCTGTCCACATATTGAATAAGAATAGAATTACAGGGCAGTGTAAGGCCCTTGAGGTTCTGATTGAGGATTTGTGAAATGTAGGAGAGGACCTCAGTAAACTGAGGCACAGTGGTCCAGGTACTATTTTTGATTTTCCCTGGAGAAGACAAACAAGTATTGATTTTTCATTTACAGACACACAGCAAAGGAAGCACAAGTATGGATCTACAACTGTGAAACACATAGTCAGTCTCTTTAGGACTTGCAAATAGAATGGTAGTGTATTTGACTTGCACTGTTGGTGGGAACGCAAATTGGTGAAGCCACTCTGGAAAACAGTGTGGAGGTTCCTCAAAAAATTAAAAATAGACCTACCCTATGACCCAGCAATAGCACTGCTAGGAATTTACCCAAGGGATACAGGAGTACTGATGCATAGGGGCACTTGTACCCCAATGTTTATAA